AGCTCATTGGTGAAGGGCTGCACCCCATGGAGGAGAGACCCACGGGACAGCAGTTCGGGAAGAACTGCTGCCCGAGGGATAGACTCACAACAGAGATGTCCATCAAGGATTGTCTCCCGTGGGAGGGACCCCACAGGAGCAAGGGAAGGACTCCTCTCCCTGAGCAGCAGCAGAAACAACAACTGACCATAACCCCCATTCCCCGTCCTCCTGCGCTGCTGGGGGGGAGGAGGGAGAACATGGAAGGAAGGAGGGGTGGGGGAAAGTGTTTTTTAAGATTGTTTTTTTCCTCACTCTTTGACTCTTATCCTGTTAGTAATAAATTTAAATACTATCCCCACTTTGAGCCTGTTTTGCCCGTGAAGGTAACCAGTAAGTGACCTCTCCCAGCTGTTATCTCAACTCATGAATCCTTAGCTGTTATTTTTTCTTTTCTCTCCTCTGCCCAGTTGCAGAGGGAGAGTGAGAGAGCAACTTTAGTGAGTACCTGGTATCCGGCCAGGGTTATTTCACTACAACAGTTCAAATTGCAAGACTGGAGACTTGAAGCAATGTTAAAACAAGGCCAGATGATGGTTGTATGTGACACCTCTTACTCAGCCAAGCTGAAATAAATGGGACTGTGGAATGAAAAAATAAAATCTTCACAAATGATAACAAAGAATTTCCAGTCTGATCTTTCATGTTCCACATAGTTTTTGTATATGTTTATTGAAAATGAGATGTCATTTTATATTTTATAGTTTGAACCATATAGAATCAGCTTAATTTATACAGAATCCCACATGCCTGTTAAGTAGTCAGAATGCTTTTCAGGAGGAGAAAGTATATATAAAGACAGATCCAATATATCTATATATGTACGTGTGCAACTAGCAGACCAAATTTACTGAAAATAACTTACTGGAAAGAAGCTCTCTACCTGTGACATTTTACACCAGTCTTCAGGACACAGAAAGACAATTTTTTGTCTTCTTGTATCAAAAGGGGTTTTGAAATTAATTTCATTTCTTTTCCTGTTTTTCAGTAAACACAAAATGACAATTTGCTGGGGTGATGGGGAAGCCTTATCCTGAGGTTTCTGAAAGGCAAAACTCAGCCATATCCCATGACACAGGCACATGTAGAGGAGTTATTTTTGTGAGTGTACCGTGAGATAATGTGTTCAGGGATCCCTATTTCCCTGTGGGGGGAAGAGGGGTCCAAGAGAGTTGGTGGATGCTCAAGGCTCAGTTCCTTCAGGCTCAAGAACAATGTATCCCATTGAGAAAGAAGGCAGGCCAAGGGAACAAGAATCTTCTGTGGATGATAAAGAACTCCTGTCATTGCTCAAGTATAAGCAAGAAGTTCACAGGAGATGAAAGCAAAGTCAGGCCATTTAGAGTGAACATAGAGAGGTAGTCAGGATAAGCAGAAATGAGAGCTAGAATTAAATATGGCCCATCTAGACATAAATCTGGTCATCGATGTCAAGAATAACAAAAGGCTTTTTTCAAATACATAAATGACAAAAGGGAAAAAAAGAATAATGTTGACCTATTAATAAATGGAAGGGGGACCCCGGTAACAGAGAATGCAGAGAAGATAGTTACTGAATGCCTTCTTTGCATCAGTCTTCACCAATAAGATGAGCCCTCAGGTATCTCTGACCACGGAGACCAGACTATGTGAATGTCAGAAGGAAGACTTTCCCTCAGTGAAGGAGGATTGGGTCAGAGAATACCTAAACAAACTTGACATCTGCAAGTCCATGGACCCTGACGAGATGCATCCACGAGTGCGGAGAGGGCTGGTGGACATTATAGCTAGATTACTCATGATCACCTTTGAGAGGTCATGGAGATCAGAAGAGGTGCCTGAGGACTGGAAGAAAACAAATGTCACTCCAGTCTTCAGAAGGGGCAAAAAAGAGGACCCAGAGAACTACAGGCCAGTTAACCTCACCTCAATCCCTGGAAAGGTGATGAAGCATCTTATTCTGGAGGTCATCTCTACCCACATGAAGGACAAGAAGGTGATCGGGATCAGTCAGCATGGGTTCACTAAATGTAAATTGTGTTTGACCAACCTGATTCCCCTCTATGATGAA